AGCTTGCGTCCTGTAGTCGTAGAACCGCTCCGTGGCATCGCAAAAGCCGATGTGCAAAGATGGGTGGACTATTATGGGTTTGTATTTGCGCGGGGATGCTTACAGCGTAGTGAGGCTCGATGAAGGGGTCGTTCACGGCGACAATGTCGACGTCGTTGTGCTCGATAGCATTGCGGAAGACGATACGGCCAATGCGACCGAAGCCGTTGATACCAACCTGCGCGGACGTGTTAGTGACTGCCTCCTGGCGCAGCGGGGTCGTGGAAGGAGCTTACCTTGACAACCATGATGAACTGAGTGTAGTGCTGAGAAAGTTAGAGAGTTGAAGAGGAAGCAAGGCAATTGCGCTGAGCTCACTCTTTTATAGGGTATAAGCTGATGTAGAAGTGGTGAGAGACAGAGTTTTGTGTCGGGCGCAGTGTTTTGTTGGGTCTGGGCTAAGGTGGGGTGCCCAGGTGAGGGAGGGGCAAGCTAAATAGCGACCAGCTTGAGGACGTCACAAGTTTTAGTTCTTTTTCTGTAATCCGATATGCAGCGCAGCCTGGGCCCCCAATTACACCACCTGCGCCTCCCACACTTCCGGCCGGCTACCTGCTTGTCAAGCCAAGCGCATTTGCATTCAGCCTCGGGGGCGATATCGCCATCATTCGAGGCCGCGGACTGCACCGGAGAGCCAGGCGGGCAGCTCGGGCAGACTATGCTGAGCGTACCCTGACCGAGGCATCCGTAACTGTCTCCAGACGCATTCGTGACGCCAAGCGCTCTGGTGATACCGAACTTGCAGCCTCGCATACTGCAGTATGTACCGCAGGCGGCTGGTCGGCCATTCAGGCCCGGCACGCCACGCAGGACACGATTCTATCAATGCTCTTACGAAAGAGGTATACGTGCATCTCGTAATCAGCGAGAGCACAGACTAGTGATTAAAACAGCTCTGCGCGGGCGTCAGCCGTTGTCGCTCTCGTGGGCAGGATCTTTTGGTCATTCGATGTGATAAACCAAAGCGCGCAGCAGAGTCTGATGCGATCACCGGTTCGTGGGGAGGCGAGTGTTTTGTGTCACCACCGAGATTCTCTCCGCCAGGCAAAGTCGAGTATGGTTCGAGATGAGGCGTGGGTATCCGCGGCCGGCACCGTGGCACTATGATGGACAGACATGTTATTTGTAGCAGCTCTGGCCCGCCACATGATCGCCAGATGCTACGGCGATTATACCAGGAGCACAGGTACCTGCATATGGGTGCTGTGGCAAGGAGACCTGGAGCTACAGCTACAGCTTGAGCTTGAGCTCGAGCTCGGAGTTCAGATGACAATGCAAGCGAGTCCCGCCCCGACGCGTATGTTGTGCGCAGGTGCCGAGCCTCCGATCACGGGACGGGAAGACACCTGGGAATTACCTAGGTAGAGCGCGTCTGAACAAGCAGAACTCAATGTCATCCTGGCAGAGATGTCTAATTGCTTACGCACGTTTAAAGGGCATTCATGATAGGTTAGCATCTATATGTTGTAGACTCCCGCAGCACTGTTCTACCCCGCGCTTGAGGGAATTTGCGAGTGTTTTGTTCCAAGTTGAACGCTCCATGCTCACTCGGGTACCCGGGAAGAGGAACGATGAACACATGTGAGATATATAGTTCAGCAAAAGCCTCTCGATATAGTCGATTTAACATACATATACCATCTTGTCTTGTTTGTTGCGACATCATGGTGCCTTCTCTAGCCAAATTTAGGGGTCTCTGCCAACCAAGCAGTTCGCGCAGGGCGAAAGCGCACCCATCCGGCGTATTCATATGACCAGTCGTAGCTGAACTAAGGTCACGATCGCGATGCTATTGTAGACTCCCAGTGCCGCCAAAGGTTCCTCGGTCAAATCTCCGGTGTCAATGTCGCGACTGGTCCCTATGAGAGAGCTGCTGACCTTGGAAAGCTGCTCGAACAGACGGCAACATCTACCTTCATTCCACGTGGCTTCCCTCTCACCATGGCGTATATCGGAAACATGGCAACCTCAGCTCAGGGTGGGATGAGGCTCTCAGATGCCGAGATAGACGGTTGTCCCGGCCAATGAGAGACTCAGCGTTAGGACGACGAGGGCGCTCGGGCCACAGAAGATTGATCGTTCCACCACCTTGGCGTTCCTCCCGCAACCACATTTTGCAAGACAGCTCTCCTGGCCCACCATCGACTCCATCACCACCACGATCCATTGGCAGCTGTAGGTCCCTCGACGGGAAGCTTCTCCCTTTGTTTTCTATTTTTCGACACTCTCCACTCCACCCGCCGCCATGCTGCGCTCGTCCATTGCCCGGGCCTCAAGCTCGGCTGCCGCCATGTCATCGACCGCGACCCGCACTGCTCTCCCCAGAGCTGCCCCCGTAGCCTGCCAGATGCAGCAATCCCGCCAGGCCCACGCCATCTCCAACCCGACCCTCGCCAACATCGAGAAGCGATGGGAGGACATGCCCCCACAGGAGCAGGCCGATCTGTGGATGACGCTTAGGGACCGCATGAAGACCGACTGGAAAGAGTTGACCATGCAGGAGAAGAAGGCTGGTGCGTACAATCCCATTCCGCGCATCTGGGTACTGCGACAGCTCGTATGACGTATCTTGTGTTTTGATCGAGGTACCCGAGCTAGCCCGCGACATCTGGTGCGCTTAACGCGAGTTATCGCGACGTGCCGAGAAATTATCGATACGAACACCGCGCTGACAACACCCTTTGCATGCAGCCTACTACATTGCCTTTGGTCCCCACGGTCCCCGCCGACCCCCGCCCCCGGATGAGGGCCGCAACGTCTTCCTCCTCTCCTCTGCCGTCATCATGGGTGCCTTCGCCGTCTTCGCCTTCACGCGCATGTTCGCCAGCCCCATCCGGCCTCGCACCATGACAAAGGAATGGCAAGAGGCCAGTGAGGAGTACCTCAAGGTATGCCACTTCCACGCTCGCACATTCGCGTCAGCACTAACACAACACAGTCGCAAGGCAGCGAGCCCATCACCGGTTACAAGGGAATGTTGGTTCAGAGCAAGTCCGAGAAGGACCTGCCTGCCAGGGAGAAGCTCAACGATGAGTAAAGATTCGAATAGAAGCGTCACAGCAATCACCATGCCAATACCGATACCACATTTTCCTTGTGTCAACTTTCCGTTTGGTACTGTCTGTGTCACATACAACAAGATCGAAAGCATTACGAACGGCTGCCGATCGGCCATTGTCATAATAGTCCTCATTGTACAGAAATCTAGAGGCTTTTCGCGTTTACCTGACGGTTCCCCACTTCGATCATGTGCAACACGCACTTTGTATGACTTATGCAACTCTCAAATCAAAGCGCTCTACCCTCGTCACGTCAGATGATACCTGTGTAGTTGCGTGACTGTTAACCAAAGGCGAGTGCAGATAACTAAGGACGTTGATATTATAATAACATAAGTCTTGCCTAATTCCTTTTCAAAAGTTTCTTCGTAAATGCTTGTAGGGTTTTAAGTTCGCAATTAGTAGTTACATCCACGCAACAGCGATATAAGGGTTTTATTGCCTAAGGTTTCTTTGTTGGTGAGGTTGGAAAATTCCTATCATCTTTGTTTGATATCAAATGGTCCTTTCGCAATCGGCGATGAATATTCCGATGCACGATTCATCCTCACCCATGATTAGGTGCCTATCATGCTGATCATAGTCATGAATTGCAGCATGCAGTCAGACATTATGTTACGAAAACGATGTGTTAGACGGCTGACAGCAGCTGTAAAAGACGCACATACCCGCATCCGCGGCCGAGGTAGTCCTTGTCGCACAGAAACGAGATATGTCAGCTTTGTAACAGCATGCTTGTTGAAGAAGTGTAAAGACCGCGGCCGTGCTTACTTTGAAGTCACAAGCTTCCCTATGAGCTTATAGCTCTCGCATATACAATTGCGAATTATGAGTGAACACTCGCTTCAGCTTCCCACGGCTCCATTCTAGCAAAGATGGACTGTAACGTCTATCCATTTCGAGAATTACTGGTGCACTCTATTCAAGCAAGATATCGAACACATACTAAGCTCAAGCCGCCTAGAAGTATACATCACCTTGAAAGTACTTATAACTCTGATCTTTACATCGATGTAGGCTGCGCGGCACCTGTTCGCTTCCTTCCTTGCGTGAGGTAGGTGCATCCATGGATGCTTGCCAACATGACTACTGACCGACATGTCCTCTTAGGCCTACGGTCTATGAGAGAGACCAAATACCTGTGTTCCGGTTCTTCCTTACGTAGTATACTATTCGTAATATTAAAAACCCGAGCTTTTTGCACATCTCGAGCCTGCAGCTGACCTCAAGTTTTCCATCGCTGGTCTCACAATGCACTATTACCGGCAGCTACCTGCAGTATGCTCTATGTCATCTCTCGCCTGGTCAAGCTAACCATGGGCTCATCCTTACAGTGGACGGCACGGGTAAATCACTCAGTAGTCTACACTGCATCAGGAAGTTATCAAGTTTCGTTTTTAACACTAATGTAGACTTCAGGGTACCTGTTGAGTTTTACTATAGAGTCCTCTGGTGTATATGTATCCTACTATCTGGTCTGCAACTTCCGCATCTTGATATCTTGCCTGCTGCTTCCTTCCAACCTGCAACCAGTCCGGGAGGAGCCCGAACGAGTTGTAGTCAGTGGCACGGCCTAGCAACACCCTTAATGGAGTCTGGAAGATGAGAGAATGCCTTGTCAATCTGAGGCCCAGTCGGTTTGGTATGGAACTAATCCAGTGAGAAGCATGCTAAGAGACTACAGACTACTTGCTTATCGTCAGAATCACGTGTACATCAGAATGGAGATATTTCGAACAAGAAAAAGCGGTCTCTTCATGCAAGATAAGCTACAGAAAGCCACGCATCATGACACCCGCTAAAGTCCCACAGTTTCGGAGGTATATCTTTTGTACAAAGTGAGACTACCAGCGATTTGCCCTAGACACTTTGGCCGACTCTTCACCCACCACGAAAGTCCGTCTATGACTTCTCGAGCTCGGCAAGAATCTTCTCTCCCTTGGCGCGGGCTGACTCGAAGTCACCGACCATGTAGAAAGCACCTAGAAATGTCAGTCAAACGCTGTGAAAACGGATTTGTGGCAAACTCACCCTCGGGAAGGTCGTCACCCTCACCAGTCAAGATAGCCTTGAATGAGCGGATGGTGTCCTTGAGGTCGACAAGCTTGCCCTCAATACCAGTGAAGACCTGGGCGACAGCGAAAGGCTGGCTCAGGAAACGCTGGATCTTACGGGCACGCTCGACGGTAAGCTTGTCGGCTTCCGACAACTCGTCCATACCGAGAATGGCAATGATATCCTGGAGGGACTTGTACTCCTGGAGAATCTGCTGAACGCGGGTGGCGGTGTCGTAGTGGTCCTGACCGATGACACGGGGGTCCAACATACGGGACTTGGAGTCAAGAGGGTCGACGGCGGGGTAGATACCCAACTCGGAGATACCACGGGACAAGACAGTGGTGGCGTCCAAATGGGCGAAGGTGGTGGCGGGAGCAGGGTCAGTCAAATCGTCAGCGGGCACGTAGACGGCCTGGACGGAGGTAATGGATCCCTTGGTGGTGGTGGTAATACGCTCCTGCATGACACCCATGTCGATGGCGAGGGTGGGCTGGTAACCGACGGCAGAGGGGATACGACCGAGAAGAGCAGACACCTCGGAACCGGCTCTGTGAAGGGGGTTAGTGGGTGTGTCGAGTGCACCATGTAGAAAGGCACGTACTGGGTAAACCTGAAGATATTGTCTGGCCGATAGTTAGCACATGTCACGATTGGAGTTTGAGCAGGATATCTTACCGATAAAGAGCAACACATCCTGACCCTCTTCGTCGCGGAAATACGAGGGGGTTGTTAGCTTCATGTCACAGGCAGGTGTCGTTGGTCAAGAACTTACCTCAGCAACGGTAAGACCAGTAAGGGCGACACGGGCACGGGCACCCGGGGGCTCGTTCATCTGACCGAAGACAAGGGCGACCTTGGAGTCACCGTCAAGCTGAATGACGGAAGTCTCCTGCATCTCGTGGTACAGATCGTTACCCTCACGGGTACGCTCACCGACACCAGTGAAGACGGAGAAACCACCGTGGGCCTTGGCGATGTTGTTCTGCCCATCGTTAGCTGATGCTCAGCCTGGAAGCATTCCGTGTCCTTACGATCAACTCCTGAATGAACACAGTCTTTCCGACACCGGCACCTCCGAAGAGACCAATCTTTCCACCACGAGCGTAAGGAGCCAACAGGTCGACAACCTTGATACCGGTGACGAGGACCTCAGCGGAGGTGGACTGCTCGGTGAACTCCGGGGGGTCGGCGTGGATGGGGGCGTACTTGGTGGCCTTGATGGGACCACGCTCGTCAATGGGGTCACCAGTGACGTTCATGATACGACCAAGGGTACCGTGACCGACGGGGATCTTGATGGGGGCACCGGTGTCGGTGGCCTTGGAACCTCGGACGAGACCCTCGGTACCGTCCATGGCAATGCATCGTACGACGTTCTCACCCAAATGTTGCTGTGCTGAATCAGTGATGCTGTTCCCACTTCTTCAATTCTTGGCGTCCTTACAGCGACTTCGAGGATGAGCTTCTGGTCACCGTTCTGGGTTGTGACGGCGTTGAGAATAGCAGGGAGCTGCTCGGTGTCGAACTTGACCTGCATTTGGTGTCAGCGGCCGTCGTCTTGATGCGATGAAAACTTTTCGAAGAAGGGCTTCGGCTACGCACGTCCACGATGGCTCCTATACTTTAGGAAGGAGTCAGTATATATCCATCAATATATGTAGGTAGACTTACACTTGATGGATCTTGCCATCCTTTGTAGCATCGGTGCTGGCGAATCGGGTGGAGAGCGCGGGGGCGAAGCTCTTCTTCATGGGCGAAAATGCGCTGCGGCGAATGGCCGGCCTGCGCATGGAAGCGCGGAGCGCCTGCTGGATCCCACTGTCGAAATAGGCGTCAGTCCATCTCAATTCATCGTCAATTGGGCTCAGTGAGGGTCGCTCTTACCTCTTCAGCATTGTGAGATATGTGGTAGACGGATTGGTGAGTGGAGAGAGGGTGGGTTGGTGAGGAAAGAGCTTCTCACAGCTCGAACAGAAAGCGGACTTGCGTTCCACGAGATCCGTGCGCGGCTAGTGCCCACGCGGTTAGTATCCGGCAACGAGACGACCCCAGGATCGATTCTCTCACGACATTCAGAGCACTTTGCGTTACTACTTTCATCCTCCGAGTGTGATCGATTCTACTTTCTGACTATGGTAGTTTACTCTTGCGTATTGATCTGCCTGAGCGATGTCACGACGTCTATCCGCGTTCCGATTCGCTCCGATTGAATCACCGCCTTCAGATCACACACCACCAAAGCGAAATTGTGATACATAACGCCAGACCATAGTGTGCGAGGAACACGGCCAGCACGTCTGCATAATTGATTACAGCTCAGGCTGCGGACCTAGGCAGGCTTGATCATCCCTTGAATAGCAACAACAACGAAGACGCACATCGGAACACATTCTTGCAACAGTTGACTCACATAGTCTCTGTGTGCGCGAAAACAAACATCGTTCCCATCGCAATAGCCCGCTGCCGACGAGCGATTCAAAACTTACGAAGTCGATACCACTGTGGATACAATTAGGTTCCCTCAGATGAGAAGTATCGCCCATCCAACTATCGGGAAGTTCCAACAATCATTGCCACCTCAAGAACTCATTACATAACGTTAAGCCAACGACCACGAGGAAGTTTCCACCAGATGCCATTCAGCCGCCGATAGATCACTAGTTTTCAAGGTACATTTAGGTTGGGGTGGGTGGCCTAGGCGCTGGGTGTGGCATGCTCATGAAGGTAACACGTGTCGCAAGTAAGTCCTGGCTTCAATAAAGTCTCGTCTCAGGAAGCAAAGTAAACGGGTGGGTTGTGTCAGACAAGATCAATTTCACTATAGACTACATCATCTCGCCACCTTCAACCCCACCACCTTCAATCCCACCACCCAACAGCCACGCAAAGGATTAGTATGTTAGCATCTCACTAGATCGGGGCATCTCGCCATCACAATCAAGGCATCTCGCCGTGTGCAAAGAGGAGGCATCTCGCCACCACGATCAAGGCATCTCGCCATCACGACCAAGGCATCTTGCCAGCACGACCAAGGCATCTCGCCGTGTGCAAAGGGGAGGCATCTCGCCATCAGAAGGGATCACTTACAATAGGCGACGAGAGGGTATCTCACTTCTTGGTGCCCTTCGCCTTTTTCTCATTGATCGGCTTGCTTATGAAGTCATGGTCCGGGTTCCACTTCCATCGGTTCCAGTGTGTATTGCAGACATCCATGTTCAGCTTGCGACCCATCCACTGCCAGAACGCTTGGTTACATTTATGGCCGTCCTGCGGAGCGATTTCGCCACGCACAATTGAGGAGTTTACCGCCAACCCTAGAAAAGAGAAAACTTAACATTGATGGAGCCTGGTATTTGGATTCGTGCTCGATACGCAAAGTATACTCTGAAGTATACGCTGTGTGTTGCAATCAAGATGTCGTAAGGCAGGAGGTTGCGTATACGCCTAGGGTATGTTTCAAGATTATGGGAAAGTCACAGAATCTCTGTCTATAAAACGATCAGATGCGCCTCATTGCTGGCGCTGTTATATCGGGTGCCCCAAAGACCCCATCCAGGCATGATTATCATGATTGCGGTGTCATACGTTGCAGCATACATCGGCGTCTCGATTGGTTTGTAGTTTCTGACCGTAGAGCCGGGAGGCACTCACAGTCAAAACCATAACGTCGCGATTAATTCTTGTACTGGATTGGAGACTACGAGCAGACTGTGAGTACGTATAGTATACGAACAGTGGCAATGTAGGGTGCACCTTCACCTTCACCTGCAATCGCACAACTAGGTTGGGACAACCGCAACCACAAACCAGCAAAAAAGAGAAATTAGCACATAAAGTAAGTAATGTAACAAGCTGTACTCGACCCACGAGCAAAAATATAACAATACTTCGATGAGATACCCGACATTTTCATGACGTACAAACGCTAATCACCCAAGTAGAGCTCGCAGGTCTTTGCTATATGAGAATTAGCTGAATTAATTACAATATATAGAGCAGTCAAATCGAGTTCTATACAGATCTGAATTCGCGCTGTTGTGTTGTGGGGGAGCGCGTGGTGAGAGCAAACGCGCAAACGCTCGTTGCCATGGTACTGCGGTGAGAGCGCGCGCACACCATCAGACTGCAACAACACATATCGCTTGTAACTAGTTGAGAGATACAACCTCGTCGTTTTATACAATCTACGCGACCAAAGCCATGCCTGGAGGTATCCGACGTTTTCTCTAGTGTTACACTCACATCACGCAAGATCACGTATACAACTGCCTGAGACACGGAGCGCAGCGTAAAGACCACAAGTTTCTTGGTAGTCGGCAAGCTGGGAGATGAATCACAGCTTGAAGACTACAAGTCATGTTGTATTCGGCACTTGACGAGATGAGACGTCGCATTCATACGTGCGTTAATCTACTTTTTTCCAATCTGGGCTTCCACGGCTCAACAACACGGCTTGTATGCAACAGATCTCTTCATACGCGACACTTCGATGAGACACGAGATTGTTACTATACATACATTCATCTACTTTTCTCCATCTTAGGCTTCTTCGGCCCAACAAAATTACACAGTGCACCGCCATTCACAGCAATGACCTTCCATCCCGCAGGCACAACACCAAACTCCTCACTCTCTTCATCCGTCGCACTCAACTTCCATATCTTTCCTGTCTGTCTATCGAACCACTCCCTCCCTTCTGGAGTCTGTACCAACTCACCAAGCACAAACTTAGTTACAGCTTGACTGTCTTTGGGATTGACCGAATCGGGGAGCTTTTGGATATTCACGTCGAACTTGCGTTTGCCGTCAATCTGGACAACGCATTTGCGCGTTGTGGTGAGGAGCGGTATGATGGCCAGATCTGCGGTTGGGAAGCCTGTTGCGAAGACTGTTGAGATGCTGCGGTCGTTCGTCTGAGTCGCAGTGCATGTGTTCAGTTGATGCCAGGCTTCCTCGGCGACGCCAGGAGCAATTGGGGCGAGCATGCGGACGAGGTGGGCCATGGAGTACCATTTGAGAATTGGTGTGACTGGAGACGCATGTGGCGTGTCCCAGATAGTGTTTGTCAGCGTCATTAGATCGCTGACGATGGTGTTGAGAGAGTATGTCTGCGAGTACGATTCTGTGACACTGGCGATGGTTTCTTGGGTCTTGATCCAAAGCTGAGCCTCATCTGGTTTGAGGGTGGACACCAAGGTTTTGCGTGTGGCGTTCTTAGATTCGCCGCTTGTCGAAGCATCTTGTAGGATACTGAGGAGTTTACTGTCAACCTGTGTGGGTGTAAGGAACGTCTCTATCACATCATCCGGTATCCATGGTGCGGTCGACAGCTTGACAACTCGGTGTAACCATCGTTGTACGCCAGTGATCTTTTTCTCGTCCCACTCAAGCACATCACTGACAGGTGCTTGGAAAAGCATATGCGCGCGCGTGGCGTCTGCGCCGTACTTGGCAATCGTGGCACCTGGATCCACTCCATTGTACTTGCTCTTCGACATCTTCTCGAAACTAACGTTCGGAGTGACTCCACTGGCCTTGATGATAGGCTTGGAAGGATTGGTCAAGTCGACTTCATCGGGGCGTAGGAAGCGACCATTTTCGGGGTCTGTAAACGTCTCTCCATGCACCATGCCTTGGGTGATTAGGCGCGTGAAAGGCTCGCCATTCGTCAGATAGCCCTTTGGCCATGTTGGAGTGGTTGCCAGAAACTTGGAGATGAAGCGCGCGTATAAAAGATGGAGAATCGCGTGTTCTACGCCACCAACATAGAGGTCCACTGGCATGCCAGTATTGGTCTTTGTCGGGTCGACCAAGGCGTGCTCGTTCTTCGGATCTAGAAACCGTAAGAAGTACCACGACGAGTCCATGAAGGTATCCATAGTATCAGTCTCGCGCTCAGCAGCCGAGCCGCACTTCGGACAAGAGGTCTTTTTCCAGTTCTCATCTTCCGCTAATGGGTTGCCTTTGCGACCCTCGAAGAAGCTGTCGGGTAGGTTCGGTAGCTCAACTGGAAGGTCTTCCTCGGGCACAGGAACAGCACCACATGATTTGCAGTGGATGATTGGAATAGGTGCACCCCAATAGCGCTGCCGACTTATCAGCCAATCACGGAGTCGCCAGTTTGCTCGCTTTTCAGCCGGCTTTCCAGTATCGAGAATCGCTTGTACAACCGCACTCGCGGCTTGCTTTGACGTCATGCCCCCGAAGCGATCTATGTCTGCAGCAACAAAGCCTTTTTCGGTTATAGGTGCGTCCTCACCACTGCGCGGTACAAGTGGTAAAGGTAGTGAGCCTTTCTTGGCAGATACGACGACTCTGACTGGCTCATCACCGACGTTCTTTCGCCAAAACGCATGATCTCGGGTGTCGTGACCTGGTACACCCATTACAGCGCCAGAGCCATAGTCGTCCAAAACGTATGGAGCCACATATACAGGTACAGAGGGTCCTGTGGAGCCATGAACATGGGCGAGGGGATTGCGCGCTACAATATTCCCCAGCTTGAATCCCTCCTTGGTGTCCGCGGGAAGGTCCTTTGCCCGCTCCATGAAAGCGCGGAGCTCTGCATCCTCGATGGCTAACTGCTGAACGATTGGGTGACGCAACGAAAGAGCGATATACTGTACTCCAAACAGCGTGTCAGCTCTGGTAGTAAAGACATCGACAGGCTCAAAGCGCATTTCACTATCGGTCGAGACGATATCAAACCAAAGTTGCGCGCCTTCAGACTTGCCAATCCAGTTCCTCTGCATGGCAAGAACCTTCTCAGGCCACCTGCCGTCTCGTGCAAGAGCGTCCAGGTCCTTTAGCAAGGGTTCCTGGAACTCCTTGATCTTCAGAAACCATTGCTTCAGCATCACCTTCTCGACCTTTGCACCGGAGCGCCACGAGCAGCCATTGGCATCTACTTGTTCGTTTGCGAGGACGGTTTTATCGACGGGATCGTAGTTCACGAGAGATTTCGCTTGGTAGGCTAGGCCGCGCTCATGGAGCATGAGGAAGATGCGCTGGGTGTGCTTGTAGAAATGGGGATCGCACGTTCGTATTTCCTACATACAGAGATCAGCCCATGCCTAAACATCCTGAGCAGTTTCCATACAGCGTCCCAGTCCCAGCGTCCACCCATTTCCTTCATCTGACTCTTCATAGCCTCGATATTCTGTAGCGTCCACTTCTCCGGGTGTACCCCTCGCTCGATGGCTGCGTTCTCAGCCGGTAGACCGAACGCATCCCAGCCTATAGGATGTAGGACCTTGTAGCCCTGCATGTGCTTGTATCTGGAAAGAACATCGGATATCGTGTACACCCGCAGGTGGCCTAGATGGAGGGTGCCGGAGGGGTATGGGAACATGGGCAGCACATATGCGTCTCCCCTATCGGACTTCCGTAGGTCGTGCCATTGGGCAGATAGCTGGTCCCAATGTGGTTGCCATTTCGCAGTGAGCGATTCGACCTTGATTCCCTCAGCTCTTGACTTTCTCTCCAGTGTACTCGCCCATCGAAGGGCTATGCGTGGTCGGAGGACTGGGAGGCGTGGAGGGCGCCGCCAGCCTACGGACTGCAGACTGAGACGACGCATCACCTGGGCGTATGCGCATGGCGTGGACGTGTCGTATCCATGGTCTGGAGGATGCGCGGATCTACGCCAAGCATCCAGTCCTGAACGACTCCCACATTTTTTGGACGCAGCTCTAGCGCAAAAACGGGAGCTAGTCCCATGACGGCATAGGAGCCCGTCGGTTTCAACAGCGCATGCAAGCTGCACCACTCATACACGGCAGCGGTGAATGCTTGAAAGGGGTGCTGGATACTGCCCCTACACTCTGCCTCGCCCTTCATATCATAATTACCGTCCATGGCTATCAGATAGGGTTGCGCGCATCTCTTCCACATTCCCTCCGCACCATGGCCGCCGGTCGCTACTCCAACCTCCCACCGCCGACTCGCGATTCCCTCGAACTCGCCTCGCTGGCCTCCTCGTCGCACCCTTCACGGCGGACTTCCGAAGAGTCCTCGGCCTCAGGCGCGCCTTCCTCGCGTAGACTGTCGTTCGATGATGAAGACCCTCTGTCAGAACTGAATCCGGCTGGTCACGATCCGAACAGACCACGGCACAATCGCTCCTACAGCGTGTCCTCCGCCTTCGATTTCGCACCGAACCTATTCCCTCTCTCTAGCACCGCGCAGGGATATACAGCACTGGGCGCGCCCTCCAATCCAGCATTAGACCCGTCGAATGCGCTTAACGGCGGCTCATTGGAGAAGAACAAGAGCCTGACATACCTCAATGGCCTGTCATTAGTCGTTGGGCTTATAATAGGGAGTGGCATCTTTTCTTCGCCATCTCAGGTTAACAAGAATGCTGGATCGCCAGGCGCGTCTCTCATAGTCTGGATCGTCGCTGGAATACTGGCATGGACGGGTGCCGCGAGTTACGCCGAGCTTGGAGGCGCCATACCACTTAATGGCGGTGCCCAAGTCTATCTGTCTAAAATCTTTGGAGAGTGGGCGGGATTCCTGTTCACATGGTGCGCAGTCGTGGTGCTGAAACCCGGCTCGGCAGCCATTATTGCCATAATTTTTGGAGAATATCTGGTGTGCGCTATTATTGGCGCCGAAGCTGTCGACGCGAGCACATGGTTGAACAAGGGCGTGGCTTTGGTGGGACTTATGGCTGTCACGCTACTCAACTGTGTGTCCACGAAGCTGGGCACACGGAGCGCCGACGTCTTCATGTTCCTGAAGTTCTTCGCGCTTACGGGAGTCACGGTCATCGGTATCGTAGTTGCCGTGACCGGGCTTTCGTACAAGGGCGACGCGAATGAGGACTGGAAGAATCGCGGCTGGTTCGATGACACGAGCGAAAACGTTAGCAACTGGGCAGTGGCACTCTACGCCGGGCTCTGGGCCTTCGACGGCTGGGACAATGTACGTCAAGCGATTCGAAACTCTGCCCACTCCTACTAACGACACCAGGTAAACTACGTCACCGCCGAGTTCAAGAACCCAACCCGCGACCTTCCCCGCGTCATCCACACTTCGCTCCCGCTCGTCATACTGTGCTACATCTTAGCCAACATATCTTACTTCCTCGTCCTCCCGACCTCGGTCATCGAATCTTCCAACACCGTCGCTGTAGCCTTCGGGTCGCAGGTCTTCGGTCCAGTCGGCTCGCTCATACTCGCGCTATTCGTCTCGGGGTCATGTTTCGGCGCACTCAACGCGACGACCTTCACATCCGGCCGCCTAGTGTATGCCGCCGGCAAGGAGGGCTATCTTCCTGCTCTGTTTGGCAACATCGGTCTAGGAAAGAACCACCGAGCAATCCGCTTGCACAGCATGAACGCAACGCAAGGGAAGAGCAAGATACCAAAGAAGCTAGTAGCCTGGTTCGCGGATACCGACGCAGGCTTCTTCTTCACGCCCATATCCGCCATGGTGCTCAACGCCCTCCTCACCGCAATCTACATCGTCGTCGGCTCTTTCGACACCCTCGTCACCTTCTACGGTGTAGCAGGATACGCCTTCTATTTCCAAACCGTACTCGGCCTAATCATCCTACGCGTCCGCGAACCCGATCTAGAACGTCCATACAAGACTTGGATTACTACACCCATCATTTTCTGCTGCGTCAGTCTCTTCTTGCTGAGCAGAGCCGTATTCGCAGAGCCATTACAGACTTTACTCGTTGTAGCCTTCATGGTAGTAGGCCTAGTGATTTGGTTCGCGTGGGTGGGGAGACGAAGAGGGAAAGAGCAGAACAAGTTTCGTATGCCGGAAGAAGGCAACGAGAAGGTGGGCTGGAAGTTCTGGCAGCGCTGGAGGCGATGAAGGGAAAGAAATATTGCCGTTCTGTTGTATACTAAGCGTCATGGTTGTATAAGATTACGTAGAAATGAAGAAATGACATCAACGTGCACGTGTTCTGTTCCGCCGTCGTCATCATCTGTGTCCTACCTTCCTCAGGCCTTCAAATATCTCGTTACGAGGTACGATGAAATGTCGGCTTCGACTGGCCCGGTCCATAATGGCAAACTGGCAAGTCAAGACCCTAGCATCGTTCGTCTCAAGTCTGGTATTCCAAATCACATCCTGGTCCGCTCGAGGCCAGCTGAGCCGGAACCCGGGTGGAAACTTCAAGCGTAGATCTATCGTTTTCCATTCGCCTCCTGTTTCGAGCGGAAGGCATAATGGTGTGACTGGCACGTGGTCGGAAAGAGTGGCCGTGAACAGGTTACCCCAGAGATGCTTACCGTAGACTCACGAAGATACTGGCGGGATACATCGGACGTATCATTCACGTGACAAGTCGGGGCCGACAACTCGGGTGAAAGTGAGTTCTGCAACGAAGCACAAGTCACTATGATGTATGATAGCAAGGCAATATGGAGAAGGTTTTTATTTGTTTATATTTCTGCTCCTTTCAATCTGATCAAAGAGACTAACAGAGAATCGGGCTATACTACTCAAAGGCTCAACACCTTCTATCTCCTCGGGTTATTAACAAGAGCTCATGGAAGAGGCAATGGGGGTGCTAAGCGAGACGTGAAGAAAGATAACAGCGGGAAGACAAGGGGGGGAAGAGAGACGAAGAGGAAGAGGAAGAGATGGAAAAGGTGATGGTGTGGGGTATAAAGAGCGGACGTGCCGTGCTCATTTCCGTAGCAGGGTGCGCAGCACCGGTGGTTCGTAAATGAATGTTCGTATCGTAAGCGACGTGACGGATGGAAGGCCGAGAGTCAAGACCTTGCCTGACCTGACCGGAAAGGGTCTGAAGTTCCCATGAACCTTCATGCGACAAAGGGCAAGCTGGGGTTGGGGCTAGAACCCTGACCAATGTGCCGAGACGCTGTGTCGCAGGAGGTGTTGTGCAAAACATGAAACCGAAACCGTAACGCCTGTGTGGGTATGTTGCCCAGACGCGAACCACCCAGAGTCGCGAGAGCAAAGGAAACAAGAAATTTAGAAACTCGCGTCTTCCCAGTTAATCGTACAGGCGGCTCGTTGCCGATTCCGGTCTAGCAGTAAGAAAGGAAATAGGGTTGGGAAAGGTACCCTCGCGCGTTTCGTGTAGCCTCAGGCTCCGCTTAGATCCAGCCGTTGCGTGGCGTCCGTTGCATCGTGCCCGCGCCAAGTGGAATACGGGCTGTGGGTGACGGAGCGGCATGGCCACTGTTCGTTCGCGTGAGGTTGTTGACTGACGCAGGTGTGCCTGGCTGCGATGATGTTGTAGGTGAACCAACTGCTGTAACGGGTGTCACGGGATTCATGCGCAGTCCGCTGATGCAGGCAGGTTCGGGGACAGCAGGCTTTGCCGGAGTAGCAGAGGATTGAGGGGAGGCTGGCGACTTCGGGGGTGGGGAGGGTAGCACCTTCTCGCGTTGGGCCTGGAGGTAAGCGCTAGATTGACCTGCCGGTGTGATGGGGAAAGGTGGAGTCCGCGCTGGGCTGTTCGCTCTGGGGCGTGTTGGCGACTCACCACGCGGGGGAGGAGGGGAGAACACGCTAGAGCTAAGCATCTCCTGCGATGGCGATGTGCTGGTCGTAGAAGGCTTCTGGATCGGAAGAGCCAACGAAGCTTCACTGCTGTCGGTAGCACCTCGCTTCAACGGAGGGGTCTCTCGTTCAACCCGTGTGCACTTGGCTGCTGCAAGCGTGGCAGGCGCAACTGAGAAGCGGAGACCAATTTGGACGGTTGCACTGCTATCGGTACTTTGCATGCGTTGGTGCCGTTCTGCAAACGGTAGTTTGGGCTTGCTCAGAAAATCCCAAGCGTCGCCGACATTCGTGACCGAGCCGCGTCGAGTAAATCGTCGCAGGGCAAGCTTGGAAACAGAGGAACCGTCTGACGTAGCCTTGGGGTCGTAAACGGTTGGTGGAAGACGAGGTACCTCTTCAGCGCGTGTGGGAAACAAGGAATAGCTTTGGCTTCGCGTGTGCTCGTGTTTCGTTGTTTCGTTGTCGAGAGCAGGTGGAAGAGGCCACTTTGTGGGATCGATAGGGCTTCCAGGTTTGGTCGATGCCGGTGTCAAAGCCCGCTCTGGTCGTTCAAAGTACTGGGGATCAAAGTCACCACGGTTCTTTTCTGGCCCAACATCGATCAGACCCTGTTGACTGTGTAAACGTTGAGTTGTCTGCAATGCCATCGGGCCACTGATCTGCATCTCCAAATCGCTAGGGCCGAAGAAACGGATCTTTGGTCGTTGTTGTTTCGCGGGCGCCTTGAGTTCTTCGATGGGACGAATGACCATTCGTGTCGCGTTCGTGCGGAGGAAGAGGTGGAAGAACGTGATTACCATTCCCGACGAGAACAGCGAGATTTCAGCGACTCGAGAAGCGGCTAATGCTTCCATGAATTCTCGGCGAAGAGACTGTACTTCCACAGGGATGACGAGAGTCTATGACTGTTAGCTAGGGATGCTAGAAAGGTAGTGCAGATACTCACGTAAATTAGTGCGGTAACGATCAAGAAGTAAGTCATACGTGAAGCTGAGATTCGCTCATTATGGTCCAGGTCCGGCGTTCTCATCAGCTGAATACTGATCATAGCGGCTACCATGAGCAGCAGAAAAACAAGAATTGAAAGGAAGATCAGCAT